GTGCTGGGATTAAAGGCGTCCGCCACCACCGCCCGGCGAATTTTAGCTATTTGTTAGGAAATCTTCTCAAAGACTTAGGACAACAGTCAAATACACAACGTAAAAATAAAAACAGACAACCTGGCTTCCATTTTTCTTAATACTCAGCAAACCAAACCAATAGGAAAAAAAAACCAAAAAAACAGAGTCAAGAACCAAGTAGATGTCTAGGAATACAGCTCTGTCGTACAAGCTTGCCTAGCACATAGAAGGCCCTAAGTTTAACACACACACACACACACACACACACACACACACACACACACAAAAAAAAAAAAAAAAGAACCAAACAAACAGCAGGGAATGGGGATTACAGAATGCCCATAATCCCAGCATTCAAGAGACTGAGGGAAGAGGACCAGGCTGGGCTACACAGGAAGATCCTGTTAGCATCCTGCTTCTCCTAACCCTGAAAAACAACAACAACAAAAAAAACAAATGGTGCTTTATTCTTAGGGGTTGTAGACTATGTATTGAAATAGCAGAGCACTTTTGCATGTAACATAATTATACACACACACACACACACACACTCTGTATGTGTGTGTGTGTGTGTGTGTGTGTGTGTGTGTGTGTGTGTGTGTGTGAGATATATATATATACCATGGCTCCACTCTCTGCTGGGATTGACTTCTGGCATGCTAAATACTCAGCCTTAAGAGACACCCTTAGTACAGCAGGGTGTACTTTAAAACTACCTTCAGCACAGGATAAAAGCTCAAAAATGAATCACTTGATCTTTTTGACAATCCTGACAGTGGAAAATGGATATGGCCAATCTGAACAGATGTGTTCTCCATTTGCCCTTAACAGAAAAGTAAAAAAAATTTCTTTTTTTTGGTTTTTCGAGACCGGGTTTCTCTGTGTAGCTTTGGAGCCTGTCCTGGAACTCACTCTGTAGCCCAGGCTGGCCTCAAACTCACAAGAGATCCACTTGCCTCTGGCTCCCGAGTGCTGAGATTAAAGGCGTGCACCACCCCGGCTGAAAAGTAAAATTTTAAAAGTTAAATTATAAAAAGGCAATCATACATGGTATGATTAAATGTGTTTAACTTCAAAAATAATCAAGAAATTGTTTTAATTTCACTAGATTATTACAAAATAGAAGTTATTGCCTCAAACTGAATGCAACTTTCTCTTAAGAGTTCATGAAAAGCCACAGAAAGCATTTCTCCCAAAATTGCCAAAAGTACTTTTGTCTCCCTTCCCTGCAACCATCAAGTCTCCCAAATTCCTACTGCAAATCTTTTCCAAGATAAGGAAGAAATTGTTGAAACTTTTAGAAGTGCTTTTTAATAAAACCTTAAATATACATACACATCCTAATGGGAAAAGCACAGGGAAATGAGAGAGTACTTGCTAGCATGTGTCAGGACCTAGGTTCAGGCAAGGCCCAGTACTTGTGGGGTGGGGGGTGTTGGCGTCACCTTTGGCATAACTTGTACAAGCTTTTAAACATTTTCAAAGAACAAAACAATAAAAGTTGGAGTCAAAAAGAAAATGTGGCACTTGGCTTTTTCTTACAGGAGTGCTTTGGGAACCTCGTGATGATTGTTTTAGCACTTTAACTTTTTTTTTTTTTGGTTTTTCAAGACAGGGTTTCTCCGTGTTGCTTTGCGCCTTTCCTGGATCTCACTCTGTAGACCAGGCTGGCCTCGAACTCACAAAGATCCGCCTGCCTCTGCCTCCCGAGTGCTGGGATTAAAGGCGTGCACCACCACCGCCCGGCACTTTACCATTTTTTAAAAGCAAAAATAGACTCCCTTTTTGGAAAGTAATAAACTTTACAACATGGACACACTCATGTTAATAATACTTTTTTTTTTTTTTAATTCAGTGCTGGTAATCAAACCCAGGACCTATGCATGCTAGGTAAATGATGCACCACTGAACTACATCCACAGCCCAAAAGTTTTTTTCTATTCGTGTGTTCAAAATTAATCTTTTCCTCTACACTGGTAAAAAGGGTCAGGTGAGGATGAGGTACTCTCTGACTCAACTCATGCTTGAAGTTCTGTCTAAAATTTAACTTTCCAAGAGAGAACTTTTAGGTTACTTTCTCGGGTGGCAATTCTTGTTGCTTTAAGACCTGACTGCAAACCATACTAGTTGAGGATGTTTGTTGAGCCTAATGTTTGCTTTCCTTATTTGCATTAGCCGGATGAAAAATGAAAAATGTCCAAAGAATGCTACATAGGTATTTTCTTAAGGTACGAACTGTCTCCTATGCCTTTGTGACTTTTTCTTTCTTTTTTATAATTTACTTATTTTTATTCTGTGTGCATTGGTGTTTTGCCTGTATGGACGTCTGTGTGAGGGTGTCAGATCTTGGAGTTACAGACAGTTGTGAGCTGCCTTGTGGGTGCTGGGAAGTGAACCCAGGTCCTCTGGAAGAACAGCCAGTGCTCTTAACCAGAGCCATCTCTCCAGCCCCTTTGTGACTTTTTCATTAGCACTACTTAGTAGTGAAATGGAATAAGGGCTCTGTGACACTAAGTGGTTATGATATTAGTAAGACTGTTCCCCCGGACTTTCATTTAAGCAAAGTCCCACACAAATGACTTACCTTGTATGACATGCTCTGGTGAAATTGTCTTCTTTTCCGACTTGTTGCAAATCTCATTGGCTTCAGAAGATATAAGGTGAATGAATTCAGTGCAGCAGTTCACTACCAGCTCTCGGGCATCGTTGGCCACCCGGACGTTAGGGAGAGTCTCTTTGATCATCTTATTTATAGCAGCTCTGGGAATAGTGAGATCATCATCGTTGCCAGACGAGGAAGCCATCGTACCTTCCTGTCTTTCAAGCCCCAACTTTTAAACTCTCGACTCTGGTCCACCACCACTCCACGGAGATTTCTCAAAAGGCTGCCCTCGGACAGGGATGACCGGGTCGGGGAAGCTCAGAACTAAGAGGGTGTAGAAACGAGGAAGGAGCGGGTTCGAGGGCCAAGAATACCCACTGTGTGGGAAATTCTAGTGCGAGTCTGAAGGGAAGGTCAGGGTGCTGAGGGCTCTGGGGACACCACTCCCACGGCTGGACGTCCGAGGGGCTGGAGAAGCTCCCTCGTACCGCCTCAGACGGACTGTCGCTGTCGTCTAACCGGACCTAAACGGCTCGCAAGACCCAGCAGTCCCCGCCCGGCCGCAGTACCGGGCGGACACCCAGCAGGCCCGGCTCTACAGAGCCGGAGCCCCCGCGGCCGCCGCCACCAGCAGCGGTTGCCGCCGCCTCGGCCAAACCATCCTTCGGGCACCCGCGCCGCCGCCTCACAACATGTCTGCCGAGGCCGCGCGGGACGCACGCCGGCTGCCTGGGAACGGAAGCGGACGGGGCCGAAAACAGCCGGAGCGCGCGGCGGGACCGCGGCCGCCTGAGCAAGAGCAGGCTGCGGAAGCTGGAGCGGCGCTAACGGTGGTCTCGCCACAGGCCGGGAAGGAGGTTTGCCGCAAACTGATCCCAACACGCTTTGCGCCACCGGAAGTCTCACTCCCCAGGTTCCACCCTCCCTCCTCTACGGATTTCCGTGTGTACTCTCCGCCCTGCCCCTCCGAGGCGGGCGGGAACCGCGGGTCCTCTTAGCCCGCAGCTTCCGCCTGTCGCCGCGGGTCCTCTTAGCCCGCAGCTTCCGCCTGTCTCCGCACCGTCCCACGAGTCGATGCGGCGTTTCCTCTGTCAGGCCCTAGGGGAGCGCGCTTGCTCTGTGGAGGGTTGGATGGCAGAAGAGCCGGCGGAGGGCCACGTGGCAGAGGAACCCTGGTCATTACTGAAGAACTTCCTTTTCCTATTTCCTTAGCTTAGGGCACTGAGTGCAAGGAGCAGACCGTGGACTCTGAATGGGACATGGGGAAAGTATATCCGTGTGTGTGTGTGTGTGTGTGTGTGTGTGTGTGTGTGTGTGTGTGTGATTGGAGGAAAGGCTTTAATAACTAGCTGACAGCGTTCAGATCAGAGCTCCCTGTTCTCGTTTGAGAAAGAAATGAAATATTGAAAGTGGCTCTCCTTAGCAGCACAAATGGCTAAGATTAAAGCCAGCAGTCAGATCCATTATAGTAGAAATGTTTGGCATACCATGAGCTACAGCATACTGACTTTTGGAGGGAATAGAGAAACAAAATTGCGTTATCTCAAGCAACTCGGATATTTGCTTCTTTCCAGGGTGGTTATTGAGAGGATGCCAGGGTTGCAGCCATCTTAGAGAAGGTCAGAATGGGGGCAGCAGGCCCTGGGAAACCCACCAGAGGATGTGCTGCCCCTAGACAATAAAGAGCCACATAAAAAAACCAGTTCCAGACATTTCCTGCCATAACCTAAAGGATATGATAGATTATATACTATAGGTATCAAAGGGAGCAAGTTTACTGCAGATAAGAAATGGGATGTCATATTGTCAGAGAAACGGGTCTGCTGATGATATTGACTGCTAAAAGATAAGGCAATTCCCTTGAAGCTGCAACTCTCCAATCAGTTCAAACCAAGCTTCTCTAACCTAAGGTAAGCACCAATCCTGAGCTTGTAACTATGTAGAGTTGGATTCTCCCAGATCCCCTACCCTATTATAAAAATGTTGCTTGATTGCTACTCAGGGTCTCACCTGCTCAGCTGCTGCGTCAGACTGACAAGAAACCCGGGTTAACTCACAATAAAAGGACTCTTGAGCCGGGCGGTGGTGGCACACGCCTTTAATCCCAGCACTCGGGAGGCAGAGGCAGGCGGATCTCCGTGAGTTCGAGGCCAGCCTGGTCTACAGAACGAGATCCAGGACAGGCACCAAAACTACATAGAGAAAGCCAGGCGGTGGTGGCAGATCTCTGTGAGTTCCAGGCCAGCCTGGTCTACAGAGCGAGATCTAGGAAAGGCGCAAAGCTACACAGAGAAACCCTGTCTCAAAAAAACCAAAAAACTACACAGAGAAATCTTCTCTCAAAAAACCAAAAAAGACTCTTGGCTTTTGCGTCGGATTTGGTCTCTTGGTGGTCTTTGGGGGACTCTGGGTAGAACAGTTATTAATAATTAGTGTCAGATTCATCACAGAAATTGTATTATGGTGACACACGCCTTTAATCCCAGCACTGGGGAGGCAGAGGCAGGCATACCTCTGGGAGTTTAAGGCTAGCCTGGTCTACAAAGTTCCAGGACAGGTGGGGCTGTTAAACAGAGAAACCCTGTCTCCAAGAACCATTAAAACAAAAAAGAAAAACTCACATACTGCCACATTAATGAATAGTAGAACGTTATAATTTTTAAAAGGACTTAAGCAACTTAAATCCATGCAGTTTAGTTCATAGTATTCTTCATTGATAGATTGACAGGTGGGATGTTTCCAATATTTTCTTAAAGTATTTGGTTTCCAGGAGACGATCACTGTCAGCTACCCTCTCCTACCCACCTTATTAGAGCTGAGCTTAAACACCAGCCTTGAGTAATGTTTTCATTCAACATTTTCTCCAAGATGCTTGCTAGGAAGTGTAGATTCTTGATTATCAGTGCTATTAAGTTTAATCTTTGATATACAGTGCTGTGGGATGGTCTGTATGTCAAATGTGTTGCTGATTGGTCAATGAATAAATCACTGATTGGTCAGTGGCCAGGCAGGAAGTATAGACGGGACTAACAGAGAGGAGAATTGAGAGAACAGGAAGCTGGGTGGGGGAGACACTGCCAGCCGCCATGATGACAAGCCACATGTGAAGATGCCGGTAAGCCACGAGCCATGTGGCAAGGTATAGATTAATGGAAATGGATTAATTTAAGCTGTAAGAACAGTTAGCAAGAAGCCTGCCAAGGCCATACAGTTTGTAACCAATATAAGTCTCTGTGTTTACTTGGTTGGGTCTGAGTAGCTGTGGGACTGGCAGGTGAGAGAGATTTGTACTGACTGTGGGCCAGGCAGAAAAACTCTAGCTACAAATGGTGTCCAACGTGGTGGCAAGAGTTTCCACCTAAAAACTGAAAAAGATTCTAAAACGGAGCTAAAAACAGTTCCTAATTGTCTCTCTCAAATGAGCAGCAGCTGCCAGTTTGAGCTACTGGTGGGTTCCTAGCGTGCGTGCTCGACCTGCTGTATGGTGGGAATGAGGCCTCTGCAAGTGGCACATCAAGCTGTGTGGTGGATTTAGCCTTTGCTAGTACAAAACAAAAAAAGAGGTTTCTGGGCTACACGCTGCTTTGATAGAAGCATAGACCCACTATTTCTGAGAGTTGATGGCTCCCAGAGCTGGCGGAAAACGTATCACCGCCATGTTGGGAAGCTGAAGTGGGCGGAGCCAGCAGCGCCAGCCCCGTTTCAGGCTTAGAAGGCTGCAGTTCAAAGCACTAGGCTCAAGCTAATATAAAAAAATAAGCCACGTAAAGATGGCTACCACACAAAGAATCTGGATTATGTTCTCTTTGATATTCGTAACTAAAGAAAAACATTTGATTACAAAAGCTGTTGAGTTATGCCAAAATGTATATTTTAAAGGTACCTTGACTTCAAAATATGGATATAAAGATATGTTGCTTTGGAAAGGAGACTCTGCTTTTGTTCCCACAGAAAGCCAGAGGCTATGGATTTGTTCCAGATTAAGACACATCAGGTTTGACCAGCCAAGACCACCTGAAAGGTCTCCGATGACACCATGGCCTAGATGATCCAACATCCAAAACTGTTTCAAGGCAACTGGCTCAGACGATACACCCTCATGGACTACTCCATAACCCTAAAATATTCTTTGTGTCCCCATAAGATACAGCGCCCCCCTCCAGCAGGAAGTAGTAAGAGAAACTACGCCCAAATTCCCAAATATACCAAGCTGACTTTGGAGATGTGTAAAGGTTAAAACCTTCCTTTTTAAGAAAAGAAAAGGGGAAGTGCTGTGGGATGGTCTGTATATCAAATGTGTTGCTGATTGGTCAATGACTAAATCACTGATTGGTCAGTGGCCAGGCAGGAAGTATAGACGGGACTAACAGAGAGGAGAATTGAGAGAACAGGAAGCTGGGTGGGGGAGACACTGCCAGCCGCCATGATGACAAGCCACATGTGAAGATGCCGGTAAGCCACGAGCCATGTGGCAAGGTATAGATTAATGGAAATGGATTAATTTAAGCTGTAAGAACAGTTAGCAAGAAGCCTGCCAAGGCCATACAGTTTGTAACCAATATAAGTCTCTGTGTTTACTTGGTTGGGTCTGAGTAGCTGTGGGACTGGCAGGTGAGAGAGATTTGTACTGACTGTGGGCCAGGCAGGAAAACTTTAGCAACAATACAGAGTAAATTTTTTTCTTCAAAATAAATGAAACTTGGTTCAGATGTATCATCTTTGTGAAGTGTTAGTTTACTATTTGTTTAAAAGATTTAATATATTGTCTAAATTTATTTGGGCCTTAGTTTATCAGTCTGAAAAAGCAACTTAGCAAAAATTATCTCCAGAGTTGTCACATCCAAACCTTGTTTCTGAATATATATATATATATATATATATATATATATATATATATATATAGAGAGAGAGAGAGAGAGAGAGAGAGAGAGATTCTTTTTCATATAACATTTATGCTTTTTAGAGTTGTGTGATGTAGATCAACAGAGCAAGTGCTAAATTGATATTCCAGTAATAGGTCATTTCTACAGATTATGTGGTAATATAAGTAATGTGGAATGTGGAGAAAAAGATGTTGCTAGGATTAAAGGTGTGTGAGCTACCACTACCATAAAAAAATAATGTTTAAAAAGATTAGTCTGGTTTGACCTGTGAGATGGAATGGAATGGAATAGGAAGAGACAAAAAACACTAGTTATTAAGCTATTCCAAAAACAAGTTAATGGTGTAGACAAAAGAGTACAGTGATAAAAGGATAGGAGGAAGAAATCAGGTATTTGAGAACAGAATTTACAGGGTTAATCTTTGTATTGCATTTACAGCAAGATCAGAGCATCATGCATAAATAGAGAAAAATAGTAGCTAAGAAGAGAGGGCGCTTTGGATGGAGAAATATAAATAACAAACTAAAAGAAGAGTGGAAATATGGGAGTCGTCTCTACAGAGGTGAGTACCACAGAGCCACTGTTGTTTATACTTTCACCTCCAGGGTTTGTTTGTTTGTTTGTTTGTTTGTTTGTTTGTTTGAACTTTTTCTTTGTTTGTTTGTTTGTTTGTTTTTTGTGTGGGACAGGGTTTCTCTGTATAGTCTTGGCTGTCATGGAACTCCCTCGGTGATCAGGCTGGCCTCGAACTCAGAGATTGGACTGCCTCTGCCTCCCGAGCACTGGGATTAAAGGTGTGCATCACTGCTCAGCTCAATCCCAGGTCTAAAATGCAGTATTTTTAATTTTGAATGTGCATAAAGACCTTTAAGGATGGAGAAGTACAAAGACATAAAGGAAAATATGTCAGTAAAGACTTTACAGAATTAAAGGTCTACTGTAAATGAAGTCATAGGGAGAGTTGTCATAGAGAAATACTGTTAGAAGAACAAACTAGTAGGAGTCAGAAATGGTGGCTCACAGATGTAATGGAAATAGAAACAGAAGGACTGAAAGTCCAAAGTCATTGTCAGCTACATAGTGAATGGAGGACAGTCTAGAATGCCTGAGACCTTCTCTCAGACAAGCAAACAAAAACCCAAACTTTTGCCAGCTGGGGATGATGGTTTGCAGTTAATTAATTCCAACACCCAGAAGGAAGAAGCAAGAAGATTACCTTTAGTTATGAGTCATTCTGGTTTTAGGCTATGCCAAGGCTCTCTACAAACTGACTGTAAGGCCCTATTGCTAAAGATAGCACCTACACTACTCATGAAGAAGGTGGTGCCCACCTAGAGCCTTCACACCTACTGACTATCGTTCATGTACTGGAAGGTACTCTGCACACTACCAAAGGAGAGAGGTAAACACCAACCCATCTACAAACCCTTCAATCTACAAGTGTGACCTACATGCAAGATATGCTGGTGCAATATTGGCACAAAGCTTCAAAGAGTAACCAACCAATATCTGATTTGAGTTAAGGCCCACTCCAAGAGATGGAACCCATACATAATGTTGCTAGGGTGGCCAAGAATCTGAGACTAGATAGTCCAGAGACCAAATAGTACTGTTGTGCTAAAGGAATATTGCAATGAAATGACTCCTAACAACATTCTGCTATACTCATAGATCTGTGCCTGGCTCAGCCATTATCAAAGAAGCTTCTTCCTATAGCAGATGGAAACAAATACATAGACCCACAGTCAGACACTATGCAGAGAGTGAGAGACCTTGGAACACTCAGCACTAAAAGGGATGTCTCCATCAAACCCTCCTCTCAGGGATCAAGGAGCTCTTTGGAAAAGGAGGAAGAAAGAGTATGATAGGCAGAGGTGATGGAGGACACTAAGAAAGCAAGATCTTCTATACCCAGAAGGACTGATGTACATATGAACAGACAGGGACTGAGGCAGCATGCACAGGACCTGAGCAGATCTCCACTAGATATAGTTCTAGAATTGAAAGGAGAAATGGACACATACCCTCATCCCTAGCCCAGAAGTTATCTCCAATGATAGCTACTAGCAAATGAAAATTAATTTTAGTTTTTTCCGAGGGAGTCTCACTGGTCAAACAAACCACTCTTTTTTTTTCTTCATGTTTTCACTTGTATTCTTTTTTTAAAAATTCTTTATTAATTTTACATACCAACCACAGTTCCCCCTCCAATCCCTCCTCCACCAAACCCCACTCTGCCCCACCCCCAATCCACTCCTCCAAAAGGGTAAGGCCTCCCATGGGGAGTCAACAAAGCCTGGTACATTTAGTTGAGGTAGGACCAAGCCCCTCCCCACTGCATCAAGGCTGAGCAAGGCATCCTACCATAGGGAATGGGCTCCAAAAAAATTAGCTTATACACCAGGGATAGGTCCTGGTCCCACTGCCAGGGGCCCCTCAAACAGACCAAGCTACACAACTGTCTCCCATATGCAGAGGGCCTAGTCCAGTCCCATTGCAGGCTCAACAGCTGTCAGTCTAAAGTTCATGAGTTCCCACAAGCTTGGTTCAGTGGTCTCTTTAGATTTTCCCATCATGATCTTGACCTCCCTCGCTCATATAATCCCTCCTCCCCTTCTTCGATTCGACTCCTGGAGCTTGGCCTGGTGCTTGGCTGTGGATCTCTGCATCTGCTTCCATCAGTTACTGGATGAAGGCTGTATGATGACAGTTAGGTATTCACCAATCTGATTACCAGGGTAGGCCAGTTCAGGCACCCTCTCCACTATTGCTAGTAGTCTAATCTGGGGTCATCCTTGTAGAATCCTGGGAATTTCCCTAGCACCAGGTTTCTCCCTAACCCTATAATGACTCCCTCTATCAAGACATCTCTTTCATTGCTCTCCCATTTCATCCCTTCCCCAGCTCATGTTCTTATTGCCTATCTCCTCCCTTCTACTGTCCCCACTCCTGTCCCCAGTTTACCCAGGAGAGCTCATCTATTTCCCCTTCCCAGGGTGATCCATGTGTCCCTCTTAGGGTCCTCCTTGTTACCTAGCTTCTCTGGAGCTGTGGGTTGTAGTCTGGTTATCCTTTGTTTTACATCTACTGTCCACTTATGAGTGAGTGCATACCGTGTTTGTCTTTCCAAGTCTGGGTTACCTCACTCAGGATGATATTTTCTAGTTCCATCCATTTTCCTGCAAATTTCATGATGTCATTGTTTTTTTTTTTTTTTTTTTTTTTTTACAGCTGAGTAATACTCCATTGTGTATATGTACCACATTTTCTTTATCCATTCTTCAGTTGAGGGGCATCTAGGTTGTTTCCAGGTTCTGGCTCCTATGGATAATGCTGCTATGAACATAGTTGAGCAAGGGCTGCTGACCTAACAGGAAAAGAGACTGTGGCTAGAAATGTTTTGCTAGAAAGGAACAGTGGGTTTGACAGTCACTGAGTTTGGCCTATAGCCAGGATTTATTTATATCCTTGTTTCTCTTCCTAAAGATGAGTCTTTTGAAGGCAAGGGCCAGCTTTCAGATATTTAAGAGCACTATAAATTGCTTGGCACTTAATAAATCAAATTTTACTGAATGAATAAGTGAATGAATTGACTAATAACTCTGGATTCCCCAAGTGACAGCTGTTTCATCCCTAGCCATTTCTGTTTACCATGAGGGAAACAGCTCTTCTTTGCCTCCCACTCCCATTACCATGATGCTGGGTCCAAACACATGGAACCAACCATGGACTGAACTCTCTGAAACCATGAGTCAAAACAAACTCTTCACTTAGGTTGTTTCTGTCAGGTATTTCACCCAAACACAGAAGAATGTACCCTCAGCAGCTCATGGAACTTTCTCCAAAAATGACCACATACTCGAACACGAAGCATGTCTCAACAGATACAAGAAATTACATCCTATTTGACTATCATGAATTAAAGCTGGATATCAACAATAGAAAGTTTACAAACTAATAGAAACTGGACAACTCACTACTAAATAAAAAATGGGTCAAGACAAAAACTAAGAAAGAAATTAAAGATTTTTTATAATTGAATGAAAATGAAAACACAACATACCCAAACTTATGAAACACAGTGAGGCAGTTCTAAGAGTTCATAGCACTAAATGCCTAAATTAAAAAATTGGGGAGATCTCATACTAGTAATTTAACAGTACACCTGAAGCCTCTAGAGCAAAAAGAAGAAATAACACCCCAAAGGCAAGAAATAATCAAACTCAGGGCTTAAATCAATACAACAACAATAACAAAAATACAAAGAATCATTGAAACAAAAGAGTTGGTTCTTTAAGAAAATCAATAAGATTGATAAACCCTTAGCTGAAATAACTAAAAGGCAAAGATAAAGATCCAAATTATCAAAATTAGATATGAAAAGTGGGACATAACAACAGAAACCAAGGAAATACAGAGAATCATAAGGACATACTTTAAAAACCTGTACTCCAGCAAATTGAATATCTAAAAAAAAAGGACTATTTTCTCGATATATGCCACCAACCAAAGTTAAAACAAGAGCAAACAAGCAATTTAAACAGGCCTATAACCCCTAGTGAAATAGAAGCAGTCATTAAAAATCTACCAATCAGGCCTGGCGGTGGTGGCACACACCTTTAATCCCAGTGCACGGGAGGCAGAGGCAGGCAGATCTCTGTAGCATGAATCTTAGAAGGTCTTATTAATAAAAACAAACCTGGAGCCAGGTATTGGGGTGAATGCTGGAAGATCAGAGAAGCAGAAAAAGCCTCACCTCGACAATTCCTCAGCTGATCCTGTTTCCTCAGACTGGATGCCTCTCAGCTGAACTGTGCTGCTCAAAAGCCTAAAAGCTTAACCAGCTCTACCGCCTTAAATATCTTTCTGCTTTCTGCCATCACTTCCTGGGATTAAAAGCATGTGTCACCACACCAGGCTGTTTCCAATGTGGCCTTGAACTCACAGAGATCCAGAGGGATTTCTGTCTCTGGAATGCTAGGATTAAGGGTGTGAGTGCCACCATTTTCTAGCCTCTGTATCTAGTGGCTGTTCTGTTCTCTGACCCCAGATAAGTTTATTAGGGTGCACAATATTTTGGGGAACACAATACCACCACAGATCTCTGAGTTTGAGGCCAGCCTGGTCTACAGAATGTGTTCCAAGGACAGGCTCCAAAACTACACAGAGAAACCCTGTCTCTAAAAATAAACAATCTACAAAAAAAAAACAACAACAACAACAACAAAAAAAAAACAGGACAAGATGGTTTTAGCACAGAATTCTACCAGACTTTCAAAGAAGAATTAACTCAGTATTCCTCAAATTATAGGAACATTTCCCAATTTGTTTTATGAGGCCACAGTTACACTGAAGCCCAAATCACATAAAGACCCATCAATAAAAGAGTATTACAAACCAACTTTCCTTATGAATATAAATGAAATAAAATACTTGCAAACCAAATCCAAGAACATATCAAAAAGATCATCCACCATGATCAAGGAGGCTTAATCCTAATGATGTAAGGATGGTTCAATACACGTAAACAGAAATGTAATCTACCCTATAAGCAAACTGAAAGAGAAAAACTACATAATTAACTCATTAGATGCAGAAAGGCTTTTGACAAAATCCAACACCCCTTTATGATAAAAGTCCTGGAGAGATAAGGGATACAAGGGACATATTTTAACATAATAAAGACAGTTTATGGCAAATCCATAGCCAACATCAACTTAAATAGAGAGAAACTCAAAGCAGTTCTGTTGTTGGTTGTTTTTTACTCTTGGAGGGCCTGCCACCTAGCTCCCAAATAAATCACACTGAGTCTTATTATTACTTATAAATGCCTGGCTTAGCTTGGCTTGTTTATAGCCCGCTTTTCGTAACTTTAAATTATCCCTGTCTATCTTTTGCCTCTGGGCATTTCCCATTCTCTTAATTCTGTAAATCTTACTATTACTTAGTGGCTTGCTGTGTAGCTGAGTGACTGGCCCCTGGAGTCCTCCTCCTTTTCTGGTTACTTCTTTTTTCCTCCCAGATTTCTCCTATATATTCTCTCTGCCAGCCAGTCTCGGCTATCCTTTCTCCTGCCTTACTATTGGCCATTCAGTTCTTTATTAGACCATCAGGTGTTTAGACAGGCAAAGTAACACAGCTTCACAGAGTTAAACAAATGCAACACGAACAGAAGTAACACACTTTAAAATAATATTCTACAACACAATTCCATTAAAATCAAGAACAAGATAAGGTTGTCCACTCTCTCCATACCATTTCAATATAGTACTTGAAGTCTTAGCTAAAGCAATAAAACAACTGAAGGGGATACAAATAGGAAGGGAAAAAAAATCAAAGTATCTTTATTTACAGATGATAGGATAGTATATATAAGTGACCCTAAAAAATCCTACCAGGAAACTCCTACAGTTGATAAACATTTTCAGCAAAGTAGCAGAATACAAAATTAACACAAAAATCAGTAGCCTTCCTATATACAAATGGACTAAGAAAGATTATCAGGGAAACAACACCCTTTACAATAGCCTCAAAAAAAAAAAAAGTATCTTGTGCTAATTCTAACAAAGCAAGTGAAAGACTTGTATGATAGAAACTTTAAGACACTGGAGAAAGAAATTGAAGAAGCTATCAGAAGATGGAAAGATCTGCCATATTCATGGATAGGTAGGAATACAGTAAAAATGGATATCCTATCAAAAGCAATCTACAGATTCAATGCAATCCTCATCAAAATTCCAATACAATTCTTCACAGAACTTGACAGGACAATTTTCAGCTCCATATGTAAACACAAAAACAAAAGGAAACTAAAACTCATCCAAATAACAACAACAATAATAATAAAAAACACTGCAGATATCACCATCCCTGACATCAGTTTGTACTACAGAGCTATAGTAAGAAAAACAGACATGCTGATCAATGGAATATATTGAAGACCCAGACATAAAGCCACACATCTATGGACACCTGATTTTTTTTTTATAAAGAATCTATAAATACACACTGAAAAAAAAGACAGCATCTCCAACAAATGGTGCTGGTTAAACTGGATGGCTGCATGTACAAGAATCCAAATAGATCCATACTTACCACCCTGCACAAAACCCACTTCCAAATGGATCAAAGACCTCAACATAAAACTAGATCACTGAACCTAATAGAAAAGAAAGTGAGGAATAGTCTTGAACTCATTAGCACAGGAAAAACTTTCTGAAGAGAACACCAATAGCACAGGCAGTAAGATCAACAACAAGTGGGACCTCATGAAACTGAAGAGCTTGATATGCAAAGCACATCATCATTTGGAGAAAGTTGTAGCCTACAGGATGGGAAAAGATTCTTAACCAACTACACACCCTATAGAGGGCTAATATCCAAAATATATAAAAACTAAAAAAACAAAAAAAACCCTACATATCAAAATAAATAACCAAATTAAAAAATGGGATACAAATCTAAACAGAGAATTCTCAAAAGAGGAAACTCAAATGGCTGAGAAGCACTCAAAGAAATGTTTAACATCCCTAGTCAGCAGAGTAATACAAAGCAAAACTACCTTGAGATTTCCTCTTAAATCTATCAGAATATCTATGATCAATAAACAAATGACAACTTCTAGTGGTGAGGATGTGGATAAGGGGAACACTCATCCATTGCTGGTGGGAATGCAAATTTATACAGCCTCTATGGAAATTAATGTGGCAGTTCCTCAGAAAGATGGGAATCGATGTACCTCAAGATCCAGCTGTACCACTCTTGGCATACCCAAAGGATGCTTGATCCTACTAGATATACTTGATCAATCATGCTCATTGCTGCTCTATTCATAATAGCCAGAAATTGGAAATAATCTAGATGTGTATCAACAGATGACTGGATAAAGAAAATGTGGTACATTTACACAATAGAATATTACTCAGCCATTAAAAAAATGAAGTTCTCAAGTAAATGGATAGAACTAAAAAAAAAAAAAAAATCACCCTGAATGAGGTAACCTAGACCCAGAAAAACAAATATGGTATATATCAGCTTATATGTGGATATTAGCTGTTACATTAGTAGTAAGCAAGCTACAACTGGTAGAACTTCAGAGGTTAGGTATAGGGTAAGGAACTAGGGGTGGTAGATAGATCTCCCTAGGAAGGGGAAATAGGATAGTAATGAATAGATGAGCGGGGTACTGGAATGGGAGGATCAAGTAAGTAGTGGGGTAGAGGAAGCAACAGAGGGAATATGGGGAGGGACAGCTAAAACTAAAAGCCATTTGAAGTGGTAGTATGGAAACCTAATACAGTAAAAACTTTTTAAAATATATACATATGAAAATTAACTGAAAGTTCAGACTTGGGGATAAACAAAGAAAAGGACTCCATGATATTTTCTTAATCTTTTCAGATTAATTATATATGTGACTATTAGTAGCTTCTTTTGAGGAAAGACATACTGGCACTAACACTGAAGGAACTACTATGGGGAGAAACGCTAGAATGACTGTCATTAAAACCACTTTACTTTTGTAGTATAGGGAACTTTCCTAATGTAGATGTGAATAACACTTATTAACACATGAAATGCTGGAGCCTATAAGTGGCTGCTTATGGATGCAAAGGCATAGCACTCTGCTTATGTCATAAAGCAAATTATTCTCCAAATGCCTACACATTACATTAAAAGATATTTTAATTCTGCTGTGTTTTTAAGATATAGTATCTCAAGTAGCAGATCAGTGCTTTGGCTGCCATCAGAATTCTTCTCTGTGAACTTATTCCAAGTCCCAAGATCCTTCAGTCTTTCTTGTTTGCCCTTCCCTAGGGTGTTGTCCTTACTCACATGGTCTGAGTTCCAGTCTGTGGGAAGGGAGAAAGGAGGACTGAAGGACAAAAAATTTTCTTTCAAGTAATTGATGTGGAAGCTGTGCATCTCATGATTCAATGGTAAGTTCCAAGATGGATTGTAGAGACCCACAGAGATTTATCTAGTGAGAACTTACTCAAGGTCTGAGAATCTGAGCTTGCTTTACCCAGCAGGGCTGTATAAGGGGATGATTTGACCAGAGGCGTGGTTACCAGGTGTTTGGAAGGGTCAACAATTGGCTGTGCAGTGTGCTTTGATCTAGCAAAGGGGAGGTCTTTTACCCCACCCCTTGGAATTGTTATAAAAAGCCCCTTTGAAGAGGCAGAAGAGACCATTGGGTCCTCCTGAAGCTATACTGTGTTTCTGTCTTTCTCCTCTTCGCTACCTTTCTATCTAATATTTTTATCCCTCTCTCCTCCTCATAGGAACCCTGGAAAAGGTGGGAGCTGGCCTCCCACAATGGATAAATAACTCGGTGTCTAAGAGCACTTGCTGCTCTTGCAGGTGACTGTAGTTCAGTTCCTAGCACCCACATCCACTGGCTTACAACTCTGTAACTCCATTTCCAGGGGATCTGACACACTCTTATTGCCTCTGTGGATACTGCACCCACAAACAAGCAGACAATTAAACACAAAGATAGCAATAAAATTTTTAAAAATTATTGAGGAACTTAAGCTCTGTAATTAGCAACGGAAGGTGTGGAATATCCCTTTACACTGTGTGAATATATGTCACTGTGATTGGTTTAACAAAGAAGCTGACTGGACTATAGCTAAGCAGGATAAGGTTAGGTGGGAGCACCAGACTAAGAGAATGCTGGGAGGAAGAGTCTCAGAGTCACCAGGCAGACTCAGAAGAAGCAACATGAAAAGTACATAGATAAGGTAAATGAGCCTCGGGGCAGCACATAGATTAATAGAAATGGGTTAATTTAAGTTATAAGATCTAGTTAAAAACAAGTCTAAGCTATCAACCAAGCATTTATAATTAATATATGTCTGTGTGTTTTTTTGGGAACTGATGGGACAGAAAAGTCCGCCTACAGGAAGGTAGGAAATATAATCAGCCAGGGTGTACCTATACCCGGCTAAGCTCATTCTTTTTTCAAGACAAAGTCTCACTATGCAGTCTTAACTGACATAGAACTCACTATGTAGACCAGGCTGGCCTCAAACTCATAGAGATTTACCTGTCTCTGCCTTCCAAGTACTGGGATTAGAAATGTGCACCACCACATCTGGTGTAAGCTCAATTCTTACTGAAGAAAGGAAGACTGGATTTGGGGTCTAGGTGTCTGATATACTAATATGTAAGGCATATAGGGTTGGTAGAAGCACAGGTGAGCTCAGTGTTTTGGAAGGGATTATGACAATACATAACAAGAATCACAATAATGTACAAGTTCTTTGACTTAAGGAAAACTTATTCTAAGAAAATATATGCATGAAGATCTGGCTATAAGGATGTTCATTGTAAATAGCAGAAAAACTGAAATCCATCTAAAGGAAGTATCTCATTGATTACTATAGATAAGAGTTGTTGTGGGATATCTATACACTGTATGAAAATGTATTGCTGTGATTGGTGTAATAAAAAGCTGAATGGACAATAGCCAGGCAGGGGGTATAGGCAGCACTTCCAGGCAGAGAGAGGAAGTAGGAAATGAATCTAGGTGCACATCAGATGCCAAGAAGACATGGAGGGAGTCAGACATACAGAATGAAAGGTAAAAAGCCACGAGGCAAAACATAGATTAATATAAATGGGTTAATTTAAGTTATAAGAGCTAGTGGGACAAGCCTAAGCTAAGGTCACGATTTCACAATTAATAAGTCTCTGTGTCATTATTTGGGAGCTGACAGCCCAAAGAAAATTCCATTACAAAGAGCCTTATATTTGTCCTTAGATACCAAATGGCAATATCACTGCTAGTCAAGCACTGTAATCCCTAAGTATTTGTAGTTGCAATTCCATGTTTTATCTGTAACCATAAGATAATGTGTGTGTGTCTGTGTGTCTCCCAGATTTAGAGTTCTGACATACATTATTTAATCAGTTCTGCAAGGTATATATCAATATATAAATGAATGGAGGCTTAGGGAGCTTAAGAAACTAGTTGAAAAAAATTAAATGGTGAGGGCAGAGAGATGTCTTAGTGATTAAGAGCATTGTTGCTCTTGCAGAGAACCCAGGTTCACTTCCCAGCCCTTATAAGTTAGCTCACAACCATCTGAAGCTAAAGTTCCAGAGGATCCAACCTCCCTTCTTCTGACCTCCATGGGCACCAGACATGCATATGGTGCACATACAGACATGCAAGCAAACACTCATATACATAAAATAAATCTAAAAAAATATTTTAAAGCCTGGGTATGGTTATATACACTGTTAATCCCAGCACTCAGAAGGCAGAGGCAGATGGATCTTTATGAGTTCAAGGCCAGCCTAGTCTATATAGTGCATTCCAGGACAGCCAAGGCTACATGGTGAAACCTTGTGTCAAAACAATAACAACAACAACAACAAAATTTAAATCAAACAGTGATTAAATAATGTGATTTTATTTTGAAATAAATTCAGTATTGTCTACCTCATCTCACATTTCATTTGTCTTTTCTCTTTTGTCTTACCTAGAAAATTTGGGTAGAGCATATCACTTAGAGAAAACAGTACACACACATCCCAGGATGACTCCAGAGGACAACTGACTTCTCAGAGGCCCTTTTAAAACAGTATCTTGCCATCTCCTGAGGATTCAGCAAGGTTTTTATTTATTAATAGTAGAAACCAACCTGAGCTATTTTAAGTTAAAAGGGTGAACTATATGAGAAAAACCTCATTTTTCCTTATTCAATTTTCTCCTTAGCATCTGGCTTTCTTGGTTGTTCAAACTACAGGCAGCTGAACTATGACAATTACAACTTCAGTTTCTACTGTAATATAGCTCGTTACATAAAAAGACTGAAGTCTCTCTGCTTCTATCCCTGCTTCCAAGTTCCTTGGGAAGACCATTCAGCTTGAGTCAGTAGGCTACCCCAGTCTAGTCATTGGCTAGAGTGGAGCTGGAGAATGTCATACACAATTCTGCCATAGGTGAGGGGACCAGTAAAAAGTTATCAGGATGCCCCTCAACCAAAGAATGTACTGTGGGATGTCTTTCTGTACACTGTGAATATATGCTGTTCCCATTGGTTAGTAAATAAAGCTGCATTGGCCTATGGCAGGGCAGGATGGAGCCAGGCGGGAAAATCCAAGAGAAATAATGAAAGGAGAAAGGAGAGTGGGAGTGGAGGGAGATGCCAAACTACCATCCAAGGAGCAACATGTAATGGGATGCAGGTAAAGCCATGGAACATGTGGTGCTACATAGATAAATAATGAAAGAACTAGCTAGCAAGAAGCCTGCCATAGGCCTTACAGTTGGTAATTAATATAAGCCTCTGAGTGATTGTTTTATAAGCAGCTACAGGACCATGTGGGACCAGAGAAACTTCTGCTACAAGAATGCATAAAGGAAATGTGGCATATTTACACAATGCAGTATTACTCAGCTGTTAAAAACAATGACATCAGGAAATTTGAGGGCAAATGGATGGAACTAGAAACAGTCATCCTGAATGAGGTAACCTAGACCCAGAAAGATAAACATGGTATGTACTTACTCATAAGTGGATATTAACTATAAAGTAAAGGATAACCATGATACAATACAAACCCAGAGAGACTAAGTAACAAGGAAGGCAGGGACACATGGATCTCTCTGGGAAGGGGAAATAGAAGAGATCTCCTGGGTAGACTGAGGGAGGGTAGGGATGGGAACATGAGGGATCGGGTTGTAGGGTGGACGGAAGGGGAGAGTACTGAAAGAGAAGTCTTGATATGGGGGGCATTTTTCAGGTCAGATAGAAACCTGGTGCAAGGAAAGCTCCCACAAATCTACAAGGATGACCCCAGCTAAGACTCCTAATAATAATGGATAGGTAGCCTGAACTGACCATCTCCTGTAATCAGATTGGTGACTACCCACCCCAGTTGTCATCAAATAGCTTTCATCCAGTAACTGATAGAAACAAATGCAGAGACCCACAACCAAGCACTGGGCTGAGCTCAAAGGATCCTGATGAAGAGAGGGAGGAAGGATTGTACAAGCCAGGGGGGTCAAGATCATCACAAGAGAACCCACAGAAACAACTAACCTGGGCTTATAGGAGGTTATAGTCTGGACTGACAGCTAGGGAGCCTACATGGGATTGACCTAGGCCCTCTACATATGTGTGACAGTTGGGTAGCTTGGTGTATTGTGGGATTCCTAGAAGTGGGAACAGGGCTGTCCCTAATGCTTTGGCTGGCTTTGGGGAACCTATTCCTCATACTGAATTGCCTTGACCAGTCTTAATACAAGGGGAGGTGCTGTGGGATGTTCTGTATGGCAAATGTGTTGCTAATTAGTCAATAAATAAAACACTGATTGGCCATTGGCTAGGCAGGAAGTGTAGGCGGGACAAGGAGGAGAATAAAGCTGGGAAGTAGAAGGCTGAGTCAGAGAGACACTGCCAGCCGCCACGATGAGAAACAGCATGTGAAGATGCTGGTAAGCCACGAGCCATGTGACAAGGTATAGATTAATGGAAATGGATTAATTTAAGCTGTAAGAACAGTTAGCAAGAAGCCTGCCACGGCCATACAGTTTGTAAGCAATTTAAGTCTCTGTGTTTACTTGGTTGGGTCTGAGTGGCTGTGGGACTGGCGGGTGAGAGAGATTTGTCCTGACTGTGGGCCAGGCAGAAAAACTCTAGCTACAAATGGCGTCCAACGTGGTGGCAAGAGTTTCCACCTAAAACCTGAGAAAAAAGATTCTAAAATGGAGCTAAAAACAGTTCCTAATTGTCTCTCTCAAATGAGCGGCAGCTGCCAGTTTGAGCTACTTGTGGGTTCCTAGCGTGCACGCTTGACCTGCCGCTGTATGGCGGGAATGAGGCCTCTGCAAGTGGCACATTAAGCTGTGTGGTGGATTTAGCCTTTGCAGGTATAAAACAAAAAAAGAGGTTTCTGGGCTACACGCTGCTTGGATAAAAGCATAGACCCACGATAGCTCCCAGAGCTGGTGGTAAACCACTGCCATGTTGGGAAGCTGAGGTGGGCGGAGCCAGCAGCCACAGCTGCTGCAGTTTAAAGCAATAGATTCACAATAAGACAGATTCAGATGTAATAGTTTACAATGTGTGTAAAATGTACGTAGGCTTGAAAGAGACTAAAAAGGTGATATATACAGTTATATAAACAAATACATAGTTTTAAAAAATAAAGTCTTTAAAGAGACAGTAAAATTAATATAAAAAATAAGCCACGTAAAGATGAATATTACACAGAGAATCTGGATTGTGTTGTCTTTGGGATTTTTAACTGCAGAAAAACATTTGATTGTAAAAGCTGTTGAGTTAAACCAATATATATATTTTAAAGATACCTTGACTTCAAAATTTGGATATAAGGATATGTTACTTTGGAAAGGAGACTCTGCTTTTGTTCCCACAGAAAGCCAAAGGCTATGGATTTGTTCCAGATTAAGATACATCAGGTTTGACCAGCCAAGACCCCCTGAAAGGTCTCCGATGACACCATGGCCCAGATGATTCAACATCCAGAATGGTTTCAAGGCAACTGGCTCAGATGATACAGCCTCATGGACTATGCCATAATCCTAAAATTTTCTTTGTATCCCCATAAGATACAGCGCCCCCCTCCAGCAGGAAGTAGTAAGAGAAGCTACGCCCAAATTCCCAAATTATATGTAATTTTACTTTGTTAAGGTTAAAACCTTCCTTTTTGAAAAAAAAAGGGGGAAGTGCTGTGGGATGTTCTGTATGGCAAATGTGTTGCTAATTAGTCAATAAATAAAACACTGGCCATTGGCTAGGCAGGAAGTGTAGGCGGGACAAGGAGGAGAATAAAGCTGGGAAGTGGAAGGCTGAGTCAGAGAGACACTGCCAGCTGCCACGATGAGAAACAGCATGTGAAGATGCTGGTAAGCCACGAGCCATGTGGCAAGGTATAGATTAATGGAAATGGATTAATTTAAGCTGTAAGAACAGTTAGCAAGAAGCCTGCCATGGCCATACAGTTTGTAAGCAATGTAAGTCTCTGTGTTTACTTGGTCGGGTCTGAGTGGCTGTGGGACTGGCGGGTGAGAGAGATTTGTCCTGACTGTGGGCCAGGCAGGAAAACTCTAGCTACAGGGAGGAGCTTAGTCCTACCTCAACTTGATATGCCATGCATTGTTGATACCCAAGGGAGGCCTGCCCTTTTTTGAACAGAAACAGGAGGAATAAACTGGGGGGAGGAGCATGGAGTGGAAGTGGGGGAGGGAATGGAAAGAGAGGAGGGAGAGGAAACTGCAGTCAGGATGTAAAATAAATGAATAAATTTAATTTAAAAAAGTGTATCAGGAGCCATCAAAATGTTCCAAAAATGTGTCTGAAAAGTATTTCTCTGGTGGCCTAGCACCAAGTCAGTTCTCATCTCCTTTCTTGCTTGTAGTTCTCAAAAATAAGCATGGAATATTATGGAAGACAATACAGGGATGAAACTATCCAAGACAGCCTGGGCCTGATCCTTTCATCCTATGGAATGTAGCACCTTGAGTCAGAGAAGCACTGCCCAGACAAAACAGACCTTTGTTCTCTCCTCTGGGAGCAAGATGTCATTTAAAGTTTTGATATGGGTTCCTAAGTAGTTTAATTACAGGGGGTATGCTAAGTAGTTTAATTACAGGGGGTATGCTTGGTATATATAAGGTCCTGGGTCCCAGCACCAAAACCAAAACTGAACCAATGAACCAAACAAATAAACACCCTTGCCTAGTGATTCATGATGTGCCTAGGGTATACACTTTGGGTAGGCTGCCTTTTCCAGTTCTTTAACTATGGAGCCAGTGGTACATAGTCTGTCAATAATCTACCCAAATGTTGTGTAAAGTTTCCTCCAATAGTGAAACATTCCATCCATCAGGGAAGCTCCCTGTGATGGCTATTCTTTATATCAACTTGACTATATCTGGAATTAACTTAAACCCAAGCAGCTGGGTACACTTCTGAGGGGATTTTTCTTAATTAAATTATTTAAAGGGGGAAGACCCACCCTAAATCCAGATCTTTTGAGGTGAGATCTACCTTAATTCTGAGCTCCGCCTTCTGTTGGCAGCTTATATCTTTTGCCTGTGTGTCCTTTGTTCTGTCAAGTTCATTCCTTCACTAGCATAGGAGCCTACTTCTTCAGGATTCCAGAGGATTACATTCTTTTTTTTTCTTTCTCTTCTTTTTTTTTTTTTTTTTTTTTTTAAGATTACATTCTTAATGCTAGCCACCAAGGTCTATTCCTTTATTTGGCCACTTCTCCTCCTGGGGCTGACTACTAAAGTCCAGCTATCAAAGTATTAAAGTCTAGCAATCAAAAGCCGCCATTTGGCTACCCTAATTAACATGCCCAATCAAAATTAAGCACCTCATCCTAACATGGGGTTTCCCCTTTTACCTTTATAAGCTGCCATTTGCCTATGGGTCACATCTGCCCTCTCTATCCATAGGCAGTCCTTTGTCCCTTCAGGACAAATATCCCTTCCTCCTGTCCCTTGTCCTCTATCTTCTGCCCTTTGTCCCTCTGGGACAAATAAATATCTGTTGTGCTGAGAACTTGGTCTTGGGGTGTCTTGTGCTTATACTGGTCCTTTCACTGGAGACCAGGTGAGACATCCTGCCTCATGGACTGAACAACTCCTGGATTCTTGGAACTTCTGTTGGTAGATAGCCATTGTTGAACTAACTGGACTGTTAAGATCAATCTATATGAGTCTATTTAATGGTAAATAGGGATTTATTAAGATATAAATTGAACACAGAACTGAGTAAACAGCTGTTCTGACCAGGAGCAAATCCACTTGGCGATTCAGTCAGACCAGGAAGCAGGCAGCAGGGAGAAGAGGTCACATACAATGGCAAAAAGCACCACCTCCTTCTGGCCCTGTAGCCCAAGGTCATGGGTGGAGCAAATATCACTGCATTTCCCCTTTTTGTCTAAATAAGGTTCTAAATTTAATGCAAACTATATACAATAAGAATGATTATCAGGCCGGGTGGCGGTGGCACACGCCTTTAATTCCAGCACTTGGGAGGCAGAGGCAGGCAGATCTCTGTGAGTTCCAGGCCAGCCTGGTCTACAGAGCAAGATCCAGGAAAGGCACCAAAACTACACAGAGAAACCTTGTCTTGAAAAAAAAACCAAAAAAAAAAAAAAAAAAAAAAAAAGAAAAGAAAAGAAAAAAAAAAGGATTATCAAGTATTGCCCAGGAAAAACAAAGGGTAATAACATAAACAAAAATGGAACTACAACCAACAAGAACAACATCAAATAAGAAAGACATGCTAAATGTCCAGAAATGTCCAGATCATAGGTAAATGGCAAATTACTGAGATTACTACAATAGCTATCCTATCCTGAAGTTTCTAACTCTAGTACTTAATATGTTCTAGCTAAGATACAAGAAGATTATAAGTTGAAAGAGCTAGCTAATATAAGCTGAAGCCATAGGCCATACAGTTTGTAATTAATACAAGCCTCTGAGTGATTATTTTATAAGTGGCTGCGGGACGGGACGGCGGGTGGGAGAGATTTGTCCCGATCACAGGGCCAGGTAGGACACAGAGAAACTTTGCTCTACACTGGACCATAGCCTGTAAGCAACTATAATAAATTATATATATATATATATATATATATATATATATATATATATATATATATATATATATATATCAGTCTGCCTTCTAGAGAACCTGACTAATCAAATTTGGGTACCAGAAGTGGTTCTAAAGGATGAATTTTTTTAAGTATCTGCAATAGGCTTTCCAATTTGCTGACACCTAGGTACTGAAACCTCTCCTAGAAGCTCTGAGTGCACTAAAAACCCATAGTCTGAACTATTTCACAAACCTAGCAAGACGAATGTGATTCTACAATTGTAAGAGGCAAGGAATTTAGTGACTCTGTATGTAAAACTTTTGACAATTTGTGGGGGGAAAAGGAAAATAATGATGTTGGTTGGTTGCTCCTAGCATCTCTGGATAAATTGACAAAAGAATGAGCTCTGTGATAAAATTAACCAGTTTCTAGCATCTCAGGATATAGTGATGATGAAGGGTAACAGTGAACTTGTGATAACTCTGTGATAGCTGCAGGTGCTCATAAACAGTCTGGTTTCTAAGTGTGCCCATGAATCTTCTCTCCAGCAGCTACAGAGCTCAAGTTACAGAAAATCAAACTGAAGCCTTTTATTGTAAGACTGACTGAATGACATACCTCGGAGCATGTCCCTGGTTAAAGGAAGGACATTAATTGGTAGTGACTAATACACTTCTTAAGACAAAAGATGAACAACTCAAAATAGTTTCACTAAGTTCCTGAAACTGATCAGATTCACTAGGCTCCTCTCTGCTAAGAATAAACAATAAGAAAATGCTGAGAGCCACTCTCAGACAAGCTACACTGCAAAGTAGCAGCAGAGACTACCCAAGCAGCCTAAAAGAAACAGAGACCAATGGGGCTGCCTGGAAGAGGGTTAGGCCAACTGAGCCACCTGGAAAGTACATTCTTCAGCCTGTTGAGCTGCCTGAAGGCTGTGTAGTATGTTCCAGGTTCCTGCTTTGGTGAGCTGTCACCTATGCTGGGATATAGTGATGCAGCTGTCTGTGAGTCATTTCTGTAAGTAACCCGTCACCCAAAATCCCGTAAGTAACCCCAATAAAACTCACTGGTTCAACAAATTGGACTTTAGTGGTATCTGTACATTGGTCTGTCATGGGCTTCCTGTCTGGGGTGAGTAGACAAGTGTGTTTCTTCTTCCCAGGAAAAGTCTTAACACACAACATGAAGACAGCTTAAGTCTTGGGGAGCCAGTTCATAATAGTCTAGGCTTCGTATGTCCTTCACTGCTATAGTAAGCAATAAATCTGCTTCATATAACTTGTCACATTCAAGTATGCTATGTTTCACTAGTCTGTCAATATGTGCAGTCCATAGCACACTATAGGAAAAGATTTAAACTCCATTTCTCATGGTCAACATTGCAATGACCTTTTCTATCCTTCAAGCAGTGGGAGTCTCCAGTTGGCTATCAGTAAACCTGTTTCACTGTGTCCATTACATAAGCTCAGTACTACATGCCTTATGGATCCTGGCATGATTGATCCCTCTGTGGGAAAAGCAAATGTGCTGAGAAATAGTCAAGAATGCAGTTTTCTGTATTATATGGATGTATTTTCTTGACAAATCTGATGTTGGAGGTCAGACTAAAGGTGAACTAGGAGAAATACTGGTATTTGTGAATACATTCTCTACAAAAATAAGCAGTGATCAATCCTTTACAAGTGACAATGATCAGGATTGTTCAAAATAATTAATTTTGCAGCCAGGCGATGGTAGCAAACACCTTTAATCCCAGCACTTAGGAGGCAGAGGCAGGTGGATCTCTGAGTTCGAGGCCAGCCTGGTATACAAAGTGAGTTCCAGAACAGCCAGGACTAAACAGAGAAACCATGTCTTGAACCCCCCTCCAAAAACAGACATGAAAGTTATGAGGATTACTTGTTGAGAAGAATAGTTTCAGTGAGAGGAGGGGGTAAGAGAGGGTAATGGGTGGTAAAAACAAATAGGATTCATCATTCATATGTATGAAACTTTCAGTGAATAAAATATGAATTTAAAAAAGAATTTTAGGGCTGGAGAGATGGCTCAGAGGTTAAGAACACTGGCTGTTCTTCCAGAGGTCCTGAGTTCAATTCCCAGCACCCACATGGTGGCTCACAACCATTTGTAATGAGCTCTGGCTCCCTCTTCTGGCCTGCAGGGATACATGCAAACAAAACACTGTATACATAATAAATAAATAACTCTTAAAAAAAAATTTTATCCCCTTAATGTTTTGCTCAACAGAATTGGCAATAAGTTTACAGGCTTATAAACAGGCTGATTCAAATAATGTCTTCCTAAAAATATGGGCATGTATTCTTGTATTTTAGTTCCCTCTTATGAAGAAAGTAGCAAGAATTTGTTTGCTGCTTCTCCAGAAACACCTAGCTTTC